AACACTAATGATACGCACCACCTATTTAGTTATACCAAGTAAGCCTTTAGCCTTTCTTCCAAAACTAGAAGTTTATCCAAAAGTAAACGATCAAAGGTCAAGGTCATCTGTCAAACTTCTACCTTCAGTGAATTGCCACGTCGTGGCCATATTTGGTGTTTGGTGTCCACCTTTGAATGAAGGAAGCCATTGGAAAGCAAGCAAGAAGATCCAAGCTTTGTAGATCTATGTTTTACACTTCTTGAGCAACCCCCAGAAGGTATAAAGTTCTGAACTTGATGATTATCTCTCTAGATCTTGCTAGTTTTTGAAGTTATTTGCTTTTAGTCCCATATTCTTGGTCTAAGTGAGTATGGACTACTCAAGACCAAATTAGTTGTCCTTTTGGACGTTTTAGTGTGTTTAGAGTTATAAAAATAGGATCTTAACCCTTAACTTTCATCCATGCATGTATTGTGTATTAGAATATTATGAGATGTTAGGGTTTAAGATTTGGACACTTTATAGCCACGCAAAGTCATAAAGTTGGAAACTTTATGAATTATAACGTTATTTGGAACTAGATCTGAGTTTTAGACGTGGTATCTTAATAGATTAAGCACTTAATAGAAAGGAAGTGGTGGCAAGCGAGTACATTGTGCGTACTTGAGGGTATGTTGCACGTACCAGGTCAAGACCCCTCTGGCCAAGAGAATGCACTATGCGGGGCGTAATGGCTGAGTACTCCGAGCGTACTCAGTCTGAGTTGACTCGTTCACTTTTTGACTTTTGACCTTTGAATGGAATTATGACCAAGTTTGACTTAGGGGCATTTTGGGTATTTTGAGTTGTAGTTTGAGTTTAGGTCACTGTTTGATGTATAGGTGACCTGTAGAGCTGATTTTTGGAGCAGCGTTCTTCTCTGCTACTTCTCAGACTGTGAGGTGAATTTTCATCACTGTACTTGTGGGTCGAAGGCACCAATGTCGGCCCACTAGGTTATGTATCCTGGTATATAGGATGTTGTTATGCTATTTATGTATGATTATATGTTTGTTGGTTATATGTTTATCTGTTACATATGTCGACATAGTGTGGTTAGGTTGAGGCAATATTGTTATGTACGGAAGCCAACAAACTTGGGCGCAAACCAGTCATAAGCTGTGGGCCGGTAAGGCAAACCAGACTTACCTTGTGGGCTCGGGAGCATGCCAGACATAAGCTAAGGGCTGGAAAAGCATACCAGACTTATGTTGTGGGCTCGGGAGCAAGCCAGAAATGAGCTATGGGCCATAAAGGAAAACCAGACTCATGCTGTGGGCTTAGGGGTAATCCAGCCTGATGGTTGTGGACCCAGTATGCATGTTGTTATATGTTGCGTGGTGGTATTTTGGGGGAACTCACTAAGCTTTGGCTTACCGGTTAAGTTTTATGTTTCATGTACTTCAGATGATCGGGGGAAAGCAAAGGCGTGATTGTACACATTATTAAGTGACATGTTGTGGAGATGTTATGAAACATTGATTTGGGGATATTTGTATTTGATCTTGGATTTTTATGTTATGGGACGATTGGAAAACAATGATTTCTCTTTAATGAAAAATGAAAAATTTTATTGTAATTTTGGGATGTTAAAATAGGGCTTTCAACCCACAATAATATAGTTAATTTGTTTAATTATTTATTTCATATCAAACATTTAACCCGATTACTCATTCCCATTATCTTCTTTATTCATCTATAAATACCTATCTTAAGGACTATCATTGTAAATATCGTGGTTTTCATCTATATTCTGTTAGATGACTACATCATTAGTACAAAAGTATGAGTTCCTACATCATTAGTACAATAGTGCCAGTTTCTACATCGTTAGTACAATAGTACCGATTCCTACATCGTTAGTAAAATAGTGCCGGTTCCTACATCGTTAGTATAATAGTACTGGTTCCTACATCGTTAGTACAATAGTACCGGTTCCTACATCGTTAGTACAATAGTCCGGTTCCTTCATCGTTAGTACAATAGAACCAGTTCCTACATCGTTAGTACAATAGTATTAGTTCCTACATCGTTAGTACAATAGTATCAGTTCCTACATTGTTGGTACAGTAGTGCCAGCTCCTACATTGTTAGTACAATATTACCAGTTCTTACATCGTTAGTACAATAATACCGTTAAAGTTGTGACATACTATCTTCATTTTCATCTCTCATCATACAATGACATCTTATCTCTCATTATACTATGTCATCTTATCATTTTCATCTCTCATTACACTTTACTACCCAATGTATTATAATCATGAAAATACATATACGGTATAAATCATATAAAACTCATCTTATAATATTTCATCTGTCAAATAATATCTTTACACATAAGCACATATAGAATTTAATTATCTAAATACTTCTCATCTATATGTAAGATGAAAGTAACTATGCAATCACTTGATAAAGTGGATGACTTGAAATTTGAGCAGCACTTCGCCTTAGCACTTGGTTTTTCCTTTGATATGACCTAGGCTTAATTACCACTAAGTCATAATCTAATATTCTTCAAGATTAATGATAGTGTAGATTCCCCAACAATATCAATGTCTACATCAAGATCTATCAAGTAAGGAACAACCTGATATGATCATATTGGAGGTAAGGTTTGTTTGGTATACAAAGTATACTGTTTGGAAATCCCAATTTAAACACCTCACTAAAATTAGCCTAGACATCATCCCCGTAAGTAGATAAATCAATATTATGACATGGAATCACTAATAAATCTTATTTATAGATTCATAATAACTACTATGAATATAAATATAAGTTACACTTGAAGCATAATAAGTGTAGCTTAACTTATAGAGATTTATGACAAAAGTCCGGATAGTTCGCATGCAGAACTTCGACTCGAACACTTCTATCTCTTTGACGACTCGGGGCTCCGCTAAAAACTCCTAATATTTAAGGGATAATCAAGCTAAAATCTTAGAGGAAACGTAGAGAGATTGTTGAAGGTGTGAGAATGATATGGGAGCTGAAGGCTTCTATTTATACCATTTTGACTAGGTGTGCCACACGCTTTTAGAGGCGTGTCGCACGCTCCGGTGATGTCGATCCTTTTCCCTGCTACCACATGTCAAATTTTAGGTGGTAAGCATCGCTGTTTCTAGAATCGCCTACGCGCCGCGTGTGGGGCGCACATGAATTTTTCAGTTTTTCAAAAATTCGTATCTTTCTCATACAAGCTCTGTTTTCGACGTTCTTTATATCCACACGTAGCTATTGACGAGTAATACACCTTTCATTTAAATTCCACCGGCTAATTCTCATTTTATTTTTTAAGTTATGTGTTTAACAGAATTAGACTTAAAAGTCCGTATAAAAATCATAACTCTCTCGTACGACATCCGCTCTCGGCTGTATTTATATCGACAAACTCTTATTCATGAGATTTTCGATTTTTGTTTAGATTGTTTTGTCTAACACTAAACCGATTTGGATTTCGATTTCTGCTGCGCTAAAACTTCGAAAAATCTTAACTTCATCATATGAAGTCAGATTTGGACGTTCTCTATATGCGCGCTATCGGTTTTACGATTACTACGACTTTTATTTAGATTACTTAGGCTAATAAGCAATCTATCAAAAATTCACTTTTACGATACACATATCCATGTCGGTTTAAACGAGAAACTTCGAAGAAGCATAACTTCTTCACACGAAGTCATATTTCAGATTTTTTTTTGTATTTATGAAATCTTTGTTATGCATACTCAAGGTTCTAAATAACATAAGGCGTCACTTGACAGCAATGTCAAGCCTCAAGCTTTTCCAAGCGTTGGCGAGTCACGTCGTTTGTAAGGCGTTACTTAAGGCGACAATTTTGTATATAATTAATATTTTTATATGTATTTTTAACTATTATTCATTTTTATAAACATATACGAGTTAAGACAGCATTTTGGTAAAGCTTGGTGGCATGTACAAGCATTGGAGCCATGACGAGCTATTTAGAACCTTGTGCATACTACAACTTTGGCTAAGATTATTTATCCGAAATAACCTTCTATCAAATGTCGTTTTATCACTTTATTATTTCTTAATTGTATAGTCTGAATCTACAGGCGTTACATGTCGTTTTATGGGTTAAAGGGATTGTGGGTATTTTTGTGTTAGTTTACAGAGTTGTTGATCGTGGAGAAATCATTAAAGATAGATGACTCAACCGAAACCTAGGCCATATCATATCGCAAGTGATTGACGGAAATTTTTTAGGGTAAGATGATAAGATATGGTCCATTTAAACGTTGTAGTATTATTTAAAACATATTTAACTTTATATAATTATTATTTTTGTAGATTTAAAGATTTCAAACACTGTTTTTTTTTGTAATACATACAACCATAAGTATAAAACAATAAATAAAAGATAGAGTCCAGTTAAATACTATATAAAACCACAAATAAATAAATAAATAAACATGCAAAACATATAAAACATAAATATAAAACAATAAAAAATAAAAAAAGTTAACTGTTTCAGAAACTTTCTTTGGTATCTCGGAGTACGTTCCTGAATACCCATTTCCAGACATACCGATGATTTTACAAAAAAAAAAAATATTGATTATTTTTTTTTTCAAAAAAATATCTTTCTTCGGTATCTCGAAGTACGTTCCTGAATACCCATTTCCAGACATACCGGTGATTTTACAAAAAAAAAAATATATATTGATTATTTTTTTTGAAAAAATTCATTTATATGGGTTACTCAATTTTCGGAAACAAAATAGTTTTTAATCCAATGATATCAGGTGGTGGGTAAATTCTCGTTGGTGACGTATGTGGAATCAAAAATAGTTTAGGAATATATTGAAAAAAAAAAACAAAATATAATATTATTGTTTCACAAAATTCATGTATTAAAATAGTGGATTATGCTGTTTTTGTATTTAAAACATAACCACTTACATAGACTCACCTGTCCTTTGTCTCATTCTTTAAAGCAATACACCTCTAAGGTTATATTGGTAATTTTAGCATCTGCAACTTATTTTAGACACCCTCCACATATCTCTCCACATGCCTCAATACATGCTTTGACTTCAATCTTGACGATATTCACTTCCACCGCGTAATGGGTAATTGCAACGGCGTCCCGGCTCCCGGCAACGGCGGCGCCACCACCACCACCACGTCCAACTCAACTGCCCCACCATCTCAGCAACAATCTCCACCCAAGGGACTCACTATCCTTCCTGCATCGGATCCGGCACCTCCTCGCCAACCGCTGCCGGCCTCCGTCGGCCGTGTCCTCGGGCGGCCAATGGAAGATGTTCGTGCAACCTTCACAATCGGTAAAGAGCTCGGCCGCGGCCAATTTGGCGTGACGTATCTTGTCACTCATAAAACCACGCACCAACAGTTCGCTTGCAAGTCGATCGCGATGCGGAAGCTGATCAACAAGGACGACATCGACGATGTCCGGCGAGAGGTTCAGATCATGCATCACCTCACCGGACACCGTAACATTGTCGAGCTCCATGGCGCCTACGAGGATCGGCACTCTGTTAACCTAATCATGGAGTTGTGCGCCGGCGGGGAGCTATTTGATCGGATTATAGCCAAGGGACATTATTCAGAGCGTGCGGCAGCTGGGCTCTGCCGGCAGATGGTGACGGTGGTGCATGATTGTCATACGATGGGAGTGTTCCATAGAGACTTAAAACCTGAGAACTTTTTGTTCTTGAGTACCGATGAAGACTCGCCATTGAAAGCTACTGACTTTGGTCTCTCGGTGTTTTTCAAACCAGGTATTCTATTTGAATCATTTAAGATGTTTTTCCCCAAATACATGTTCTATCACAATCCAACATCCAAAAGGGGATAACCAATCAAACAGTTTCCATTTTCCACCAGATTCGAACACATAACCTCTAATTAGGGTTTCAAAATGGACACTTGCATCTGGACGATGTATTCGAGTATAATGATCATATAGAACTTCTTTCTTTCTCGATGTACTTTGGTTAGGTTTCTACACCAAGTTTGCACAACCACATACCATATGCAGTTTATTTGTTTTACAAAAGATGATATATCCTGCTGTGTTTCTTGCGTTTTATCATGTTAAGATGATATGTTGCAGGAGATGTATTCAGAGACCTTGTTGGAAGTGCATATTATGTGGCTCCTGAAGTCTTGCGTAGACATTATGGTGCTGAGGCAGATATCTGGAGTGCTGGTGTAATTCTTTATATTTTACTTAGTGGTGTCCCACCATTTTGGGGAGGTATATATATATATATATATATATATATATATATATATATACATAATTTCAATGAACTTGTTATCATCATAGAATACATCTATCAACAATTCATATCTTTTACAGAAACTGAGCAAAGCATCTTTGATGCTGTTCTACGTGGGAATCTTGATTTTGTATCTGATCCATGGCCAAGCATATCAAGTAGTGCAAAAGATCTTGTGAAAAAGATGCTAAAATCTGATCCTAAAGAAAGACTTACAGCAGTTGAAGTCCTAAGTAAGTTAAAAAAAAAAAAAAAACTATATGCATGGTTTTGGTTTTGTCTCAAATCAATAAGTTTGATATAAATTTGGAATGTAAAATGTTATAGATCACCCATGGATGAGAGAAGATGGTGATGCATCAGATAAGCCAATTGACATTGCTGTCCTTACAAGAATGAAACAATTCCGTGCCATGAATAAATTAAAAAAAGTGGCTCTGAAAGTAATTGCAGAAAATCTTTCAGAAGAAGAGATTATTGGATTGAAGGAGATGTTCAAATCCATGGACACTGATAATAGTGGCACAATCACTTTTGAAGAACTCAAAGCAGGTCTTCCTAAACTTGGCACCAAGCTTTCTGAATCAGAAGTCAGGCAGTTAATGGAAGCGGTGATTTTCCTAAAATACCCTTAATACATTATACATACTTTGTCTATTTATTGATTATTACATTATTATTAGGCTGATGTGGATGGAAATGGGACGATTGATTATATTGAGTTTATTTCTGCTACAATGCATTTGAATCGTGTGGAAAGGGAAGATCATTTGTATAAAGCTTTTGAGTACTTTGATAAGGATAAGAGTGGGTGAGTATTTGTATTTCTATGTAAACTATTTTTTTTTTTTTTATATATATTAAATTGTTGGTTTTTTTTTTATTTAGATATATAACAGTGGAAGAATTGGAGCATGCTTTGAAGAAGTACAATATGGGAGATGAGAAAACAATAAAGGAGATTATTGCTGAAGTTGACACAGATAATGTATTATGCTCTCTCTCTCTCTCTCTCTAAAAAAAATAGCAATCTACTTTTTTTTTTTTTTTTTTTTTTAAAAAGAATTTATTTATTTGTTTTTATTGCAGGATGGGCGGATAAATTATGATGAATTTGCAGCCATGATGAGAAAAGGCAGCCCAGAAATGGTGACCACTAGACGTCGAAAATGATAATTTTCAGAGTTTGTTTTTTCATTTATTTTCACAATTTGTTTTTTCATTATTTTAAAGCTGGTTGATTAAATATTTAACTATAGCAGCCTTTTGAGTTTTTATTATGAGGGTTATTTATTTGTTTTCCCAGAAGCAACTAAATGGGGTTTGTTATAGATATTTATAAATTATAATGTACCAAACTGTGATTGTTTCTGAAAAATCAGGTTTTTTTTTTTTTTTTTTTACCAAATCAGTTTTTGTATTTTTTTAGTACAGTATTATATACAGTATGAATTGTTTGTACAGTTGTAATATTTGTTTATTATTTCAGTATATTTAGGTAAATTTTGGAAAAATATATAACAAAGACATCTGTTATTTCAACTAAATTTGTATTTATGTAAACACTGATAAAATGATATCAATGTTGGATATTATTTTATTTACTTAATTTTTAGTTATATAAAAAGTATGTTTTTTTTTTCATGTTTTGTTAATTTATAATTACTGCAATTTTTAATTATTATAACTGATTGTAATTGTTAGTTCTCACAATTTTCTAGTTTTTTTTTTCTTTGTAATTGAATCTTAATCTATTCCATCTTTAGATTATTTTATTCTATTTGCCATTTTCATATTTTCAAATTTTAACATATTGTCAATCTTTTGAAGTTTTGTAATAAAATGACCATCGATTTTGTATATGGATGTAGTTGTGAGATACCAAAATTGTAGCAGAGCAGCTTTACTAATTGCTATTAATCTTTTCAAAGCAAATCTCACAAATACTTATCATTCGAGAGAAGGATTTTTGCAACCTTGCAAAATTTCTCTTTATCATGAAAAATCTTAAATTTTTGTTATATGTTTGAGTAGTTTTGTAGATCTAATCAAAAGTTTCATTAGTTTCAAGTTGTCACACTTTTTTGGTTCAAATTTAATGAGGATTTTAGAGTACTTTTTACTGGAGGGTTGTACGTGATAATCAATGGCTTTACAGAGCGTGGGGCGTGTTAATTAATGCATAATTATATGGAATTGCTCTAGATATAAACTTTTATGGGTTGGTTAATTTGGTGGTGAGTAAGATACGTTTAGCATATAATTATATTATTCATTTAATATGCTTGAATGAATAATCTTATCGAGCTAGATGACAACAATGATCTCAAACACTTTATAGATGTTGTTCGTTGTTTGTTACCAAATATGATAACATTGTTTGATGTTGATCATGTTGTCAAAGGTGGAAATATTTCCTTATAAATCATTTGATGGTGAAAACCGATTGTGTGAAAATTTGTTAGCTGTTGGAAACAAGCACGTATGTAACTTCCTCCATTCTATGGTGCCTCTTGATATTGTGTACGAAACAAAAAAATTAGGTGGTTTTAAGCATGTTCCTCCACACAACGATCATCATGTTGGTGATGATAAGTCTACGTACGGGGTTGACACGAATCACAAATTGGTTATGAGATTGTAAGGTGTATCAAACCAACCAAATAATAGGGGTATAATAGACTCCAAATACACTGTTTTAATGCACTAAAAAAATAATACAAGACAAATAAGGTCGAACCACAGAGACACGGGATAAAAATCTATATCTCTTTGCGCAAGGTACTTTGGTCACAAAGATGGTTTTGTTTGCAAAAGTTAAATAATGAAAATAACAATCTACTTTGAAAACATACAGAAAATGAAATAGATTTGTAAACAAGTTATTGAAATGGTTCTAGTTATAGTTCTCAATGTTGTCATTTAACTTGATTATGACTTGATGTAATTCACGGTTATTATTCTAAGTTGGTACTGAAAGATATTAGCACGCTCTAATACCTCTCGCTTGCCAAATTATCTAACCAAAACATGCTCCTTGACTAGACCTAACTTTACTAATTCAACCTAAACACACTCTTAGATTGTACTGAAAAATTGCATTAAGTTGTTTTATACAAGCTTCCCAACAATGTTCAATTCTTTTTATATGTTCGAAAGTGTGAAAACATGTGATATATGTTCTATAATAAGAAAGCTACTGTTTGTTACCAATTATCAACTTTATAAAACGGTTAGGTGCCCTAAAAGTTAATTAACTACACAAGAATTCAATTTATATAAGCGGCCAATTAAACATAAATCAAATTCAAGGATCCTAGTTTAAACAAGAACATAATCACTAGAATAGAATCATAAATAAAATATCAAACAATATGCTTCAAGTCACGCAATCAACATGTATTGAACAAGAACTAGAAATTAGGGTTTCTTAGCCACACATGGCTAAGAACAAATCAAAAAAGAAGAAAGATGGAATTGAAATGTTTAATGCTTACAAATGGAAATCAAAAGTGTTTGCAATGATTAGAATTCATCAAGAACTCACAAAAATCCCCTTAAATCGCCAGAAGTTACTCCCAAAACCGTCTTTGATGAAAAATGGTGATTTTCCTCATTTTTAGTAACTGTTCACATGCCTAACTTAAGGTCATCCATTTTTTAGCATGGCCATGTGTTTTGACCATGTGCTTTTAGCATGGCCATGCTTTTTGTAAAAACTCCAATAAGTCTTCAAACTTTGCTTTGTCTTCGGTCTAGCTTCACTCCGAGTCATGTTGCTCACATATAAGAAGAAAAGGACAAACACGACCCGTGTCGGTGTGACACAGGCCGTGCTTCAAACGTGGTCCTTTTCTAGGATGAAATGCAACGACTCGAGTTGTGTCTTTAAGTTCTCTTCCGCTACACGACGAGTCCATCTTCTCTTCATGCTCCAATGCTCCAAGCTCCCAACTCCATGCTCACCTCCATTGCTCCATAATGCCTACAAAATAAACCAAAAATAGTGAAGTACCATTCATTCTGAATAAAATATGCAAGTGCCCAAATAGTTAACTAAATGCAAGAATTATGAAGTAAAATGCAATGAAGTGACAGAACTAGACGTGAAAAATAAGTGCACAAAATGCACCTAACTGTTGGGTCAAAAATATGGTTTATACTTTGCTTTTCTAGGCAATTGTATTTTTTTGTAATATTTTATGAGTTTACGGTCAGTTTACGGCCAGGTGGGTGTTTACGGCCGTAAACAGGTTTACGGCCGTAAACCCTGTTTACGACCCAATGGGTGTTTACGACCGTAAACTCATTTACGGCCCATGTTTCTCATGTATATATATAGGGGTGAGGGGTGTGAGGAATAGATTGATGAAAAGGTAGAGGAGCTTAAGTGTGTGCATTTGAAGGTGTTCTAGAGAGAGAGAAAAGAGAGTGTGTGTTAGTGTGTGTGAATCTTGTGTAAGGAACTTAATTCATATCATCAATACATTCAAGATTCATATTATTCTTCTTCTCCTTCTCTTCTATTTGATCTGACATCATCCGTTTGATTGGGATTCTGCACCATCAAACGGATCTGATTGATACTCAAGCATTTTGGGGACTTACAATTGGTATCAGAGCATAGACAATTTAATTTTGGGTACGTTACGCAGATTCAGATTGCCTGTTATCACTTGATAATATCACTTCCCAGTACTACATCAACAAGCAAAACTGTAAGCGACAATATTTTTGATTTTTCTGAATTTTTAATGTTTTTGGATTTTTGAATGTTTTCTGAAAAAAATAAAACAGAAACAAGATGTTTTTGGATTTTTTTTTTAAAAAATTTTCAATTTTTTGTTTGGTTTTTGTTTATTTCTCCCCCTAAATTTGTGCATGGGTGAGAATGAAATCAATAAAATGCGCAAATTTAAACTAACCTAATCAATAACAAAAATTTAATCCTCAAAACGAATCATTTTCAAAAATCCCACAAGCACATCGAATCGAGCTTTGTTAAAAGGCTTGGTGAACAGATCCACCACATTATTCGCAGTGGGAACCTGTTCTAGCCGGATGAGCGAGCGCTCATAACAATCTCGGATAAAATGAATTTTGATATCAATGTGCTTGGTTTTGGAGTGTTGGACAGGATTTTTAGTAATTTGAATTGCGGCCTCATTATCACAGTGAATTGGGGTTTCTAGATAGTTCAAACCGTAGTCCAACAGCTGATGTTGGATCTAGATAACTTGAGAACAGCAAGCAGATGCAGCAACGTATTCCGCTTCTGCTGTTGAGGTAGATACGGTATGCTGTTTCTTGCACTGCCACGACACCAGCCTATATCCTAGGAATTGGCACCCTCCTGAGGTAGATTTCCTGTCAAGCTCACAGCCTCCATAATTACTGTCAGCAAAAGCATATAAATCAAATTCAGAATTCTTCGGATACCAAAGACCCAATTTTGGGCTGCCTTTGATATACCGAAAAATCCTTTTAACAGCAATAAGATGTGAAAGTTTAGGATTAGCCTGATAGCGAGTGCATTGACAAACTGCAAACATGATGTCGGGACGACTTGCAGTAAGATACATCAACGATCCGATCATCGATCTGTAGTGTGACTGATCTACAGATTCGCCATCAATATCTGGATTCAGCAGGGGTCTTTCAGCCATTGGTGTCGATGCAGGTTTTGCGTCTTGAAACTCGAACTTCTCAAGAATATCCTCCACATACTTAGCTTGATGTAGCAGGATTCCGGTTGAATTTTGTTTGACCTGAAGCCCCAGAAACATGGTCATTTCACCCAGTAAACTCATCTCAAACCGCTTTTTCATCACGCCTTCAAACTCTTTGCATAGCTGTGGACTGGTAGACCCGAAGATAATGTCGTCGACGTAGATCTGGACTAGAATCTGATCATTACCAACATGCTTGATGAATAAAGTTTGATCAATAGTGCCGCGAGAGTATCCATGCTCGAGCAAGTGCTTTGTTAGAGTCGCATACCATGCTCGAGGAGCTTGATGTAACCCATACAACGCCTTGTCCAACTTGTAGACATGATTAGGAAACTTTGAGTTAACGAACCCAGGGGGTTGATCAACGTAGATTTCTTCCTTCACCTTGCCATACAAGAAGGCAGTCTTGACATCCATTTGGTAGACCGTGAAGTTCATGTAGGAAGCATATGCGAGAAAGATACGAATAGCCTCCAATTGAGCAACTGGTGCGTAAACCTCAGTATAATCAAGACCCTCAACTTGTCGAAACCCGCGAACCACCAACCTTGCTTTATTGCGCACTATTATACCAGAATCGTCCTGCTTGTTACGATAGACCCAACGCATGTCAAGAGACCTTTTG